CTGAAGGGTCTGCATGACTCCAAGGGCCGTCGTGCTTACATCTCCTACCAGCCCACTGCCTCCTTCAGCGACGCTGAGACCTCCTACAACTCGGAGACTGGCGAGTATGAGCTGAGCATTGCCTCTACCGGTGGTGAGTGGGTTGCCAAGTTCCTGGAGCTCCGCGATGCCGACAACCTATCTACCCTGGACAACGTCACCTACGACACCCTCCGTGACTGGATGGAGTTGGGCTGGAAGCGCTACGAGGATGTCATGCAAACCACCTGGCCTGACCTGACTGAGTTTGAGAAGGCCGGTGGTAAGATCATTACATTCCACGGTGAATCTGACCAGTCTATCCCTACCGGCTCTTCGGTGCACTTCTACAACTCCGTCCGCAGCATCATGTACCCTGATATGTCTTACAACGCCAGTGTCGCTGCCATGGGTGACTGGTACCGCCTGTTCCTTGTTCCTGGTGCCTCTCACTGCGCCACCAACGATGTCCAGGCAAACGGTCCCTTCCCCCAGACTAACCTGGCTGTCATGATCAACTGGGTTGAGAAGGGTGTTGTTCCCCATACCCTCAACGCCACACACCTGGCGGGTGAGTGGGAGGGCCAGAACGCCCAGCTTTGCTCCTGGCCCCTTCGGCCTCTCTGGACCGAGAACGGTACCAAGTTCAACTGCGTCTACGACCAGGCCTCTCTTGACACCTGGGACTACACCTTTGACGCCTACAAGGTGCCCCTCTACTAAGCAGCCGATCAAGGGCTGCGCATTGCACAGTTGACGCATAATCGTTATAGCGATTCATGTATATTAGTTAGTGCCACTTTCTATGTGCATATTTAGGGTTCACGGTGATGGCCCCTCTGGCCCTGTCTCGATTAGTATTTCTCTTGTTGAGCATATCACTTCTACTACTGGACTTCCTCATCTGCATCTGTGAATGCACATGTGATAGACATAATACATTATTCAGCGAAAATCCTATCATCCAAGCTAGAGTCATAAAAATTTCAGCGAATGACATAGTTCAATCTAAATTTAACTGATGAGAAGTTGATTATTGTCGAATTTTCGGGTATAGGTCCCTTCTGGCCCAATTGTAGCCGCAGAGCATTCGCGCTCCTAATACTAGATGGATGTACGTCTATTTATTTCATGTTTCATTCTCATTATACACAGTTATACTACACAGACACGTTTTGTGTCATCCTTATATATTACTTCCGTCTTCCCATACCGCATCCTCATGATCCCCTCCCTCCATGAACTAAAATCTACTCTCATCCAGCAGAACTTCTACATCAAAGCCCCTACCCCGGCCGCAGCAGCTAACATTAGCACCAATGCATTGAAACCGAGCGAAGTATTAGCGCCGGAAGTAGACGTTGCGGACGAAGCAGAGCTACTACGTGTAGCCGTGGAAGTGATGGTCGCCATATTCCCAGTGTTTGTAGCAGACTGCAATGAAGGTCTATTAGTTACCTCTTGGCGTAGTACAAGACACTTGTACGAACAACATACCCGGTTAGAAGCAGATGTAGCCGTTGCTGCAGCGCCAGTAGCAGAAGAGGCACTAGGAGTGGCGCTGTCCCCGCAAGCCTCGGCTGCAGACTTCACGTCGTCGCCGTAGTATTGCCAGATGTTGTATGTCAGAGCACATTTCAGACAGGCACTGAGCTCAGACTTGTACGTCGAATTGGAGCAGTAATCGTCGCTGTCTTGGGAGATGAGGATGACGCCGCCTGCGACAATTGTCGATTAGCTGCATGAAGGGACAGGACTGGGAAGGGATCTAGCAAGGGAGAAAAGGGATCGTGAGGGTAGTGGAGCCGTTCCAGGAAATCCATATAAATTGGTGTTGCACCACACGTACCGCAATTGGCGTGGCATTCATACAAGGGACTGCCAGGCTCTATCGATTCCCTCCTCACTATAGGGAAAGTGCCAGGGAAGCTCCATGAAAGGCCAGGAGCGACAAGGGCTGCAACAGCAGTGAGAATGAAAAGAAGTGACTGCATCTCTAGATCTGCAGCCGTGTCTGTATTTGGCAACGTGTTAGAGAGAAGTAAGATGCTTCACGTCCAATAAGCTTGTTATGTGGAATAGACTGTGTTGGGTGGGATCAGCACGGTTATATGCTTCAGTGAGTCCGTGTGATGCACTGGCCTCAATCTTGTAGGGCAGTACATCAAGTCATAATTCGCTCCATTATTACGCCGACGCCGGTAACAATGGGAAAGTTGTCAGACCACCAGATCATGTTCCGCCGCATCTTTCTGGTATCCGTGGCACTCCTTTCCACAATCTCTGTACACTAGTAGATATTTTTTTTCGGGCTCAGGCGGGTTCCTGGTCTGGTGACTGCCTTGAGTGCGACGTAGAAGGAATCTGCAGCACAATGTAGGAGGAGCTAGGGGTGGCGCCCGTCTGGACTCTAATAGATTAATCCCGCAAGTGTACACTGAATTTCGGACCATTGAGCTGCCTGAATGGTGCAGGGCTTTTAGTAGTATATCGCGAGGTTACATCATAGGGTCTACCAGCAGGGCATTCGAGGGTCCGAATTTCGGACGTTGATCTGCTTTCGGCTCGGTATGCCAGTCAAGGTAGGGAGTTTCTGGTGGAGCTGGTCAGCCCGGATAAATTCTTCCAGTACGGCCCTGGTCATAGCTTGTCATCCTAATGGGCGTGGATCCCGATGAAAATACTTATCTGATCCGAAGGTAGTGACCAAGAAGTGAGCTAAAGCACATGCTGCAGTCATTCCGTTCCCAGAATACCCACTCAGGAAGAAAAGTTTGGAACGCCAAGGATCCGTCGATAGCTGGCATCGGTGGTCGGAGATATTGTACAAAGGGAGGAATCCGGTCCATTATTTCCGTGTGTCATAGAGAACAGGCCAACGGCTTGGCAAGCAAGGAAACGGCGTTCAGACAGATTTTGCCATTAGGATGCAGACGGGCATTTTTCCACGATCTGAGAACCCCCTCCAGTGCTGGGGACCCACCGGGTACCCTTTTCAAGGGCCCACAGCCCCCTGTTCCCTCGCTACCTGTTGCCCGTCGTTGACTGTGAGGGTCCAGTGCAATACTTTCAATGTAGTTCAACTGTGTTTTCAAGAGAGCATAGCGAGAAGTTAACTGCCGCAAGCGAATGGAGAGTCGGATTGGGCCGCGGTGGAGCCCCTTCCTTATCAATCTGATATGATCCGATGCCGGGAGCTGCCCTTCCCGACTGTCACTTCACAGATGATTCAGATGCATTGTGACCAGAAAGGAGGGGAATTTGCGATTAGTGCCATTCCTTCCTTTCCAGAACCAGGCTAGTCTTACTGATTGATAACCTAACTCACCGTTAGTGGACTGCCGCCCTTGGACGCCCGACCCTCGGACCAGCTCGCCTACCGACTTGATTTGGAACCGAATGCATGGTGACCAGCTCCAAAAAAAAAAAAAAAAAAAAAAAAAAAAAAAAAAAAAAAGAGTGGATGTCCATCACATGCCATTGGTATTCCCGAACTTATTCCCATTGGAGTTGGCCACATCCATGAGACCGGGCCTGTCATGGGTTGGTGCGGGTGCATGGTGATAGAACCGACAAAACGGCGAGCTTTCGGGCGCGAGGTCCGGTATATAAAAGATGCAGGGAACAGATCATCCTTCCAGTTTCTCTTTTGACTCCACGCCGATCAAGCTTCAGTTTCAGAAGGGAGCCACGGAGCCACCTCAGTGTCTGGAAACTCGCTTTATTGCAACTCACCTGCCTTTTCGGGAACAGAATGCCTTCCATGAACATGTTCACTAGCTTGCTAGCAACGGCTAGCCTGATGGCTTCAGGCGTGTATGCTGCCGAAGCCTCCGACATGGGTGCTGCGGCATTCCTGTGGCCACCCGACAGAGCCTGGGGAGCCACCTGGGACACCACAGCCCCCTGCGGTTCATCAGCAGGTGTTACGAACCGTACCGAATTTCCTCTCAGTAAGTAGTGTTCTGCCTTAGTATGCCTCCATTGCATATTGACTGACACCACACTTCTTCATCAGCAAACGGTGCCGTTTCTATAGTCCTTCAGGACGAATCATATTCTGTCAACCTTGCTATCTCCTTTAACAATGGTCAGTTTCCCGGGTTCGCATCATTTCAAAAATTATTAAGAGACAGTAGACCCCACCAAGAATGCCGACTTTACTACCGTTGTGGCTGGCAGCCGCTTTCCCGACGTCGAGCCCGGTCATGAATGTTATTCAGTGCCCAACCCACCGTCCAACATCACTTCCGGGTCCAACGCTACTCTTCAATTGAAATATATCTCCGACTTCGACAATGACGGTAATGAGACGTACTACGCCTGTGCCGATATCACCTACGTCCCGTATAGCTCATTCACTACCGACATCCCATGCTTCAATGTCTCGGAGGCAGACACGAGCAGCTCGTCTTCATCGTCGTCCTCTTCGGCAACCACATCGACTAGCAGTTCCAGCAGTAGTAGCTCGGGAGGCTCGAATGGACTTTCTGGAGGCGACATTGCAGGAATCGTGGTGGGAACAGTAGCTGGTGCTGCCCTGATAGGTGCAGCTGCATTCTTCCTGGGTCGGTACTGGCAGAAGAGGGTGCAACGCGAACATGAAGTCGCTATGAACATGATGAACCCAGTGCAGAAGACGTGGTCGGCTTCGACGGCAGGTCGCCAGCAGCAACAGCAGGCATAGGATGCTAGCAAGGTCATGATAAAATCATAGGGACTGTGTACATAATGCGGATGACTCCTTCCTGGCTGGCCTTTGTCATAAGGAGCGGCTTGAGAGGCTAAGGATTATCTCATCGATTATGAGAGACGACGAATGTTATTTTGTACAATTAATGTTGTATCTGGAGAGAAATTATTATTCGTTGTATCAGCTTACAGCATCAGATAATGGGAGAGACGTAGTCTTCCTTTTAAGAGATCTGTTTTCAGCTGTAAATGCGGGTTAAGGGGGGTAACATCTCGTCGGTAGTCACACCATGTCGCGGCAACTCTTTTCTACCTTTGTCGGTTATCAGGTGTGGTACTGGCAACTGGGTTGTATGACATGAACATTTAAAGAAGGTCTAAATTTAATTGATTTATTCAGCTAAGTTAGATTACTGAGTTAACTGGTAAACCTAGTTACGACTGGTTTGGTAGCTGCAGCATATTTACATGACCAGGTAGGTAGACTCTCTTTGGCATCAAGTTATGCAATTTATAATTACAGAATTGCATTAAGAGCTCTTGGGATTTATTCCTATATAGCACCCGCAACAATGTAAAAGGAACTTATACGTGAAATGTCCGACCTGAATACTTCTGGAAGGTGTGGCAGGAAAGAGATGGTGGGTGCCAGCAGTGTGCAGCAAATAAACCTACCTACTACCAGTAGTATCCTTATTATTGCTTCAATATGTAGTCACGCTTCTGACATATTGGCTACCTCGCACCTGGCTCATCAGCGTGTTATCTGCGCGTTGTTGGGATTTACTAATGCGCGGGATTCACTGGTCAGACATTGCGCTAGAACCCAATAAGAAAACCAGTCAGTCTCATAAATTTCAAGACCTCAACCTAGCCAGTCAAAAGGGAATATTGAAAGTTAGCGGAGGGGTAAAATCGCCAGCTGGTCAATTCAGGAAGCTTATCCCAATAGGGAAATTTTTGGGGTATGTCAGCACTAACCACTTCCTTTAGCTATCGCAAGGCTGAGCGACAAGCTTCTCGGATGATATTCACCAGCGATCCCGTTTTTGACATCTGTGCCATACATAAACAATTTGAAAAGGCTAGTCATTTTCACTTTGACAGCAACTCATCCCTCAATCATTAGTTTTCATTGAAACAACCTATCCTTTCCCAATGGCAACCCTTGTCTTCATCCCCGGGGCTTGGATCACCCGCGAGCTGTACCAGCCCTTCCTCGATGCCTGCTCTGTTGCTGGCTACCCCGTTCACTATGCAGGTTATCCATCCATTGATCCGGCGGATCCTACTGTAGCCGATTGCAAGACCGATACGGACGTTATCAGGAAAACGCTACACAGATTGGTCGAAGAGGAGGGCAAAGACATCTTCCTGATGATGCATTCATATGCCGGAATGCCTGGTGCAGCTGCCGCCCTCGGGTTGGCCAAGTCGCAGCGAACCCAGCAGGGCAAGCGTGGTGGCGTAATTGGGATGATCTTCATCGCAGCCTTCCTGGTACCAGAGGGTGTAAGCTGTGCAGGATTGCAGGGCGGGAATCTTCCTGCGTGGATTTTGCTGGATAAGGTAAGTTCTCCCAGTAATAATCCTGTCGGGGAAGACACACGATTAACGTTCATACAGCCCACTGCCAACCTTAACGTTCCGGCTGACCCCGTCGCCAACTTTGCGGCAGATGTTGATCCGGCGCTGCTCAAGGACCTCAATGAAAATGTCAAGCCTCATGCGACGCTGGCGTTCACCTCTCCTCAGCCGGCTCCTGCATGGGCGGAGGAAGCCTTCCAAGGACGGCTGGCCTTTATTGTCACCACGGGCGATCCTGCGGTTCCAAAGGAGGCACAGTATGTCATGATGGCTGCGACTGAGCAGGAGTGGATTATCAAGGGGATTGATTCCAGTCACTGTGCTCCGTTCATTGATCGGATTGATGAGACGGTTCGGTTGGTAGAGGAATGTGTGAAGGAGTTCCAGCTTTGAAATGCATGCCAGAATGTTATTCTGTCACTCTAGTAACTGTCTAGCGATGATCCGTGTAGAAGCATACATATAATAGAAAAACATTCAAAAAACCAGGAACAGAACCAACCAATACGCCAACTTACATTGCACCAGCTTTAGTGCCAATTTGAAATATAATCAAATCAAAATCTATGCCTTCAACAATCCCCGTACAGTTTCCTCCACCTGCTGCAGCATCTGTGGCTTGTCCTGGCCCGCGCTCACAATGATGACATCGCCCTCCGACAACTTCGGCTCCTCCAAGATATCCAGCTGGGAATCCACCATCGTCGAGCGCATGTAGTGCTCCTCCTTCGCCAACCGTTCAACCATCCGCTTCTTCAATGTCTCCCGATCGTGGACAGACAAAAGCAGAAAGGTGACCGTGACGGGGAAGTCCAGCAGCTGAGACAGCCGCCGCAACTCGTCGCGGTATACAGTGCGCAGCGCGGAGCAGGTCACAGCAATAGCCGGTGCGGTGGTCTGCTGTAGTCGATCCATTACTGCCCCTCGGATATGCGCCAACCAGTTCCACCGGTCGCGATCCTCCAGCGGAATTCCCTTGGCCATTTTCTCCCGTGCGGCCGGCGAGTGCAGGTTGTCGCCTTCGATTACTGGGATTTCGAAGCGCTGTGCCAGAGCCTGCGCAGCTGTGCTTTTGCCGCATCCGCATGGTCCAGTGAGGAAGATGACTTCGCGTGCTGGCGCTGAGGTGGTGGTTGCGCCCGTAGACGAGGACCAGCAGTGGGTGCGGAAGTGATGGATGAACCGGCTGACCAACTCAGGGGTGAGTCCTCCAGCTTCACGTAGAGCAGGGGCCCCAGCTACGGCCTGCTTGGTGTCGTATAGGAGTACGCGACTAGGCCGATCATGGTCGTATTTGCTGGTGAAGAATTCGAGCAGCTTGATAGGCGGGTTGACATCGGGATCCTGGTTAGACTCGCGCAACCGTTGCAGCCATTCACACCGAGGGAGCTCCTCGAATTCCAATCCAGCTTGTCTGAGGAGAGGGAGCAGGTCTCTTGTCCAGTGGTTCAGCATTGGGTTGGTCAAATTGACCACTTCGCCTGCTCCGGAAGCCATGGTCAAGTCAATCACACTGGTCGCCACAACATCAACGGGCGTCCATGAGAGAATATCATCGAGCTGCGGCAGCGCGTGGATGGTTTCGGCCGTCTGAAACATCATGGGGATGGCCTCGGTGGCATTCCAGATTCCATGAACGCTGTCGGCGATAATCTGACCCACGCGCAACACCCGAGCGGTCATTCCTGCTTGATGAGCGGCGCGGTTCACAATGTGCTCTGTCACAAGCTTGGACTGCGCATATCCCATGCCCTGGGCGCAGGCCAGACTGTCTGGCAGCGCTTCCGGCACCCAATTACCTGGCGTCCGGGCGACGGTGCTTACCGACGAGCAGAAGGCAAACCGTGCTGGTTGGGGTCCATGAACGTCCAAGCAGAGGTCAAGAAGGTGCCGAGTGCCCGCAATGCAGCTGGACTCGAAGCTTTCCAGCGCCCAGTTTAAGTTGACGGACCAAGCGCAATGCATCACCGCTGTC